AATAGAAATAATAGTAATATTTTTACTTTACTTATTGGCGTGCTTTATCTAATTTAGCCCCAGGAGGATAGTATCACTAAGGGGTCAATGAAAACAGTCGTTTGTCTATGCTAATTCAACTATATTTAGAAGCATCTCAGGGGCTTGATTCAACAAATTTTAGAATTCAGACCAAAGTGGGAAATGTTCAAATCACTTGTAGTACAACACGATAAAAAATCATTCTTTTAATACAATTAAAAATATATCTGTACATACAATTCTTTTTCTAGACTGCCCAACTCTACTTTAGAGTTGACCAGGTACCAGACATTGTTCTAAGGGCTTTATGAGCATTGATTTATTCAGGATTCACAAAGATTATCACCATCCCTAGGTACCGCAAGTTTAGCTGTTTTCCAAAGGTAAATGGTGAGCTCAAAGGAATGAAGATTACTACGTATTAGTTTTCAGAGCCAGTAAGCAGCACATATAGTGTTTGAACTGGAGTAAAGCTCCAAAACTGATACTTTAAACCAGGGGTGGGGAACCTTTTTTCTGCCAAAATTTATAACGTCATTCACGGGCCAGGCAAAATTATAAGCTTAAAAATTAGCCTTCTGTATGTGGTCAAACATTTAATGAACTTACCCCTAGGGTATGAATTTACCCCTGGTGTGCTGGCTGGAAGTGTGGTTGTCTTGGCAAGGCCACACCAAACGATTTTGAGGGCCTTTTATGACCCACAAGGAGCTCTGGTATTGTAGTGGTTATGAATCGATCTACTAATCTCAAGATCAGCAGTTCAAAACTACTATCGGTTTTGTGGGAGAAAGATGACTTTCTGTTCCTGTAAAAATTTACTGTCTTGGAAACCCTATGCGTCAGAACCGACTCCACGGCATACCACCACCACCACCATACGACCTATGGGCCAGACAGTCCCCACTCCTGGTCTAAGCAATGTGTAGACTTTAATTGGGTATGTGCAATTGTGAAAAGGACATGTGTTTCAGATTCAGATAAGCCTGGTTTAAACCGTTTCTCTGCCATTTATTTACTAGCTGTGTAGTCTCGGACAAATTATTTATCATCTCTGAACTTACGTATTTCAATCCTATAGTGGGAAAGATAGTATCATGTGAATTTGTCACATAGTCAACAAACTACATAATCCAGTCCATAAAGTATATGTAATCTAGTAAGTATTCAATAATTAAAATAATTTAGGTGCTATCAGGTTAGTTTCAACTCATACTGACCCCCGTGACAGAGTAAAGCTGCCCCATCCTGCAATGCTGACGGGAGCAGCTCACCGAGTCTCTCCCTTGTGGATGCACTAAGTGGGTTTGACCAATCAAACTCGCAGTTAAGCACTTGACCATTGTGTCACCGGGGTTCCTTATTAAAAATAGAGTCCCAAGTCCCAAGTTTATTATTTTATAGTTTCTGCATACTTCTCTATTCATTCACAAGTAGACTGTTGAAAAATAGTTTTAAATAAATTGAAACACACAAGTCATCTTCTTTTTGTAAAAGGTATCATTGTAGCGATATATGTACCTTAATGAATCTTTTTTCATTACTTACAAAATTCTGATACTTAACCTACCAACTGAAGGGGTTAAATGCAAGATAAGCATTAGCTTGAGTCCACTCCATGCTACTGGTATATTCACTTCATAACAGCTAAGTAGAAAACAACAAAACCCTGAACTCACCAGCTACCGTTGTATAGTCAGTAAAATGTACTACAACATTGGGCAATTTATGTAATTTTATTGGCTTGAAAGTTATGCATCTGTTCAAAATCAGCTATAAATATCGATTTTTGCCTCATCCCATCAAAAAGTCAATAGCAATCTTTGAGTTTCTTGTTTTTCTCCCTACTCCTCTCTGTAATAACCACGCTATCTATCAAATTTAGCAACGGAGAAAAAAATATTCTTGATCAGAAAATACTAACTTGGCTCTATATAACAAGTTATTACCAAAGTTAGCCATAGGATAATGGTCAGGATTTAAGAAGAAACAACAAAGGCATTTTGATCATCTGCCTATACTTCTGTAGCCCCCATTCCAGTTTAACACGACCCTCCCGCAAGATTAACAGGAACAAGATCCTTGGTCTATAAATTTCGAAGCGCCTTTGTTGCCATCATATATCACAATCAAAGACCAGCTCTTGCTCAAACGGTACAGCCACACTCATGACTGCCAGATTAGGACTAGCAGACAGATCTTAACACGGTGAAGACAGTTAAAGCTATCGTACTTGGGCATGGAGGCTCAGACATCTGAATTTGAACCTGTGCTTGTTCTCCTGATTCAGCACCAAACTCTCTAAGCTTTGACTTCTTGATCACATTTTGAGAATTACGTGATTTAATATATCTAAAATGCCTAGGATACAAGTAGGCACTCAATAGATTGTTTTACATGCCTTCTTATTTATGTGTTGAGATGTTTTGATCCAGAGCTGTTGTAAGGACCCCTTTTTGATAAAGAGGATCAAATTCAATAGCATCACTGCACTCTCATAAATTCAAGTAACTATCAGGGACCTAAAAAACCCCCTGTCATAGTCTTCTAGGCTAGAGCAAAGAAAATACACTATGTGTCATTAGACACACAGGGGACTAGACTGGGGAGCAGGGCCAGACTTAAGGACCTCAAATCTAGCTTTAAAATTTTTCTATTCCAAGTAGAAAATTGCACCTATTGGTGCAGTGGTTAAGTGCTTGGCTGCTAACCAAAAGTTCAGCAGTTTGAATCCAACTGCTCCATGGGAAAAAGATGGGGTAGTCTGCTTCTATAAAGATTGCAGGGTTAGAAACCCTATGGAGCATTTCTACTTGGTTCTACAGGGTAGGAAATGACTTGAATGGGTTTAGGTTTTGGGTTTATTCTCTATTTAAATTGAAATTGCACACAGTTTCAGGCACACACCAATAGGATTGAAAGTAGATGGTACCACACAATCTTAAGATTTTATTACCTATAAACACAGTGGAGTCCTGGTGTAGCGCTATGGGTTAATGTGCTGGACTGCAAAGTCAGTTTGAACCACAACATAAGTGGCTCAAGCTCACCAGTTGCTCCTTGGAAACCCTATGCTGGGTCACTATGGGTCAGAACTGACTCGATGGCACTGAACAACATCATCAATAACCACAGAACCTAAAGTACACTATGAACTGGTGATTTCTGGTAAGTCCTCTAACTATCATATGAATAGCTTAATTATATTGTAATGGTTTGTTTTTTTCCCTCTTTTTTGGCATTAAAAGTATTACTTTAAAAAATAAAAGCATTTATAATCTAGAGGATTTTGGTAGTCCTATTCTGGTATGATAGTATAGTGGTTACAAGTCGGGCTGCTAACCTCAAGGTCAGCAGTTCAAAACTACCAGCCATTCCGTGGGAGAAAGATGAGGCTTTCTGCTCCCATAAAGATTTACAGCCTTGGAAACCCTAGTACAGTGTCACTATGAGTTGGAACCGACTCCATGGCACACCACCACCACCACCATTCTGGTATGCCTTCATTTGTTGGGATCTTCCAATAATGAAGTGGGTTAGGCCTCTTTTTCCAGCAAAAAGTTTCTGCTACTATGTAAAGAAATCCACTGATTATCTAGGGATGTACATATTACATAATAATAATGACAGAAGTTGGTCTTATTCTTTTCCAAGCATTATATAAAGTCCATTTAAAAGGAATGCCTCATGGAGGCCTATAAGCTAGGTACTATTTGTTTTGGTTCCCACATTAAAAAAAAAAAAAAAAAGGAAGAGCTTAGAGAGGCTAAACACCTTGCCCAAGTAGGAGAGCAGTCTGTGTTTGAACCACGGTAGTCTTGGTGTGGCACTGTAAGAAAAGCATTGGACTACTAACTGCACAGCCAGCAAGTCAAACCCACCAGCAAGCCCATGCTCCTCTGAACAACATTCTAATGTACTGTATAGAATCATGACCCAGAACACCTTAATTGACTTTTTTTTCTCTTTGGCCTATTGACTATTCCAAATTAATGTTACGCTTTTAAACATGTGCTTCTGAAACCAACTTTTTGTTACAGCGGGTTATATTTTCAGTGTTTTTTAAAATAAATAGTGATTACTTCTCCTTCAAGGCACCTCTTTTCTCTATCTTTGAGATTTCTGTTTCAAACCTCTTCATACCAATCTGATTCCAGCTGCTCCTGGCCTGTGCCTCTAGGTGGCCCTCTGGTTGCCACCCCGACTGGACCTGTGTCCAGAGAGAGGTGCAGCACTACTGACTCTATGCCCTGGAATCTGCAGGCATCTGTGCCCCCACTTATCCTGACGACTGTGGTTATGAGGGGCCTCTTCTGAATGCAGACAGTCAGTCAGCCAAGTCGAAATTTATACCAGAAATCTATTACCTAATTTTTAAACAAAATGACATGAAATCTGACTTGAAGATATCAAAAACATGTCTAGTTTGTGATTGAAGCAAGAAAATCCACATTGTTACACTGCTCCCACCACAGAATAATTTACTGCAACAGGAGTTCTGGGTCCTAGGCCAAAAATGAGGCCCCCCAACCAATGTCAGGGTCAATTGTCTTGTGGTAAATCCCACAACAAAAGCAGACTATTGTGATTAGAGTTAGAAGCACCACCCGAAGACGTTGGAAAGCTTCTGGGGATTTCTTAGGGTTAGTTTTTTATTTTATTTTTGCTCCTTTTCTCCTTGTGTGTGTTTAAATAAACTACCAGAAACTCTGTGTGTGGGCACAGAACATCTTAGATGAATTGGGGAAACAATGAAAGGGGTGATCCGTTGGAATTGGAGTTACAGTTTTGGATTTCAGCAGGAGCCAGGCTGCAAGCCTGTGCACTTATGATTGAATGAGTTTGGGCTTTGAGTTGACCATAGTCAAGCCCCTTCAGTGTGGCACAACCTCCTCCCTTCCCCAACACACTGCACTAGCCATCTTGCCATTTCCTACAGGGAAGGGGAAGCCCAGGTGGTTACCTCCAGGGATACTTACCCCACAGTAAAGAACTGCCTCATTTCCTGTCTCCGAGACCTCATCAATTGCTTATATTCCCCGATGCGGAGCTTTTTGCCATCAACAATGCAGGTGCGTTTCGGTCGGGGCTTGTATTTATAGTTTGGGTACTTCTCTAAGTGAATCTTGCTTAGTCGGGCCTGCTCCTCATAATAAGGTTGCTTCTCTTGGTTGGACATGGATTTCCAGCGAGACCCTGGATGTAAAAACAGACTTTAAGTCTTCAAATGGCCAAAGTGACATATGCTAGGCATCGACCATTAAAAATAGATCTTGCTTTCGCTTCACTCACCTGTGCTCAATGTAGCTTGTATTGCCACACACCACTGAGTATTCACCTACTCTGTTAGACAGCAGAGTATAAAGAATACTTGTGTACATGCTGCATCAACTATGTTGTTTCTCTTATTAATTTAAAACTGATGTTACATACAAAATGTTTTCAAACATGTCTTGGCTACTTTAGGATCTTCTCCTATACCAAGGTTCTCCCCCACCTACATGTCTTTTCTAAGACAGTGTAAAAAATCTTAACTTGCTAAGCATACTTTCTAGAAGATGCTCACTCAGGGAGAGCCCTCTTGGTCCCAGAAATTCACATTTTGTATCTGGAGTGATGTTAGCCTTTGGTAGCATGTAAGCCACACATGTTGACATTCTTCTAGAAATTAAACCAGTGTGCACAGTTGTCTACCCTGGCCCAGGCTAATTTAAAACACCTAAACTCTACTTAACAAGTTATGGTTTTAGAACTAGAAGGCCCTGTTGCAATTATATATTCTATTTTCGAGTACTATATATGTTCGTTCTGAGCTGTACCAAGGAAATTACAGGCAGTCCCCAGTTTACAAAAGCTCTATTTACAGAATGCACATAATTGCCTTCTAATTTACATAAACTTGCCCTCACTTTGAAGCATGAAACCGACCCCTACTTGCAACAAATTCTTCTTTGCAATCACCTTTACTTGCTGCACATGCAACTTTTAAATCACTGACAAGGCTTCGAGCCTTTTCTTGCACTAAAGTCCAGCTAAGAACTATATGCACCTGTTTGGGCTTAGCCACAAATTCAACTTGAGGGCACACTTAGGAACAGATCTCATTTGTAACCTGGTGACTGCCTGCCAAAAAAAAAAAAAAAAAAAAAAAAAAAAAAAAAAAAAAAAAAAAAAAAAAAATGTATACAGGAAGAAGAAAAAGTATTCACTTCTCTAATATTGTTTATAAAGAATGATCTAAACACTTGACGAAGAAGGGATGTGTTTTTTTATATGTATCAAATGGCATTTTTGTGTCTTGCTGGTGAATAAAGCGGTAACAGCTGTGCTGACTGGAAGTTCGCTCTTCTTTAGTGGAGATATTTCATACATAAACAAGTAGAAAAGTTGGACAAATATTCTCTGTAGCCAGCAAGATCCTGGTTGTTTTAATAGCACATCCATCCATCCCTGTTCTTTCCTGATGGTTTTGCAAAAGTTGTGGCAAAAGTCTACACAGATAGACTTCTCTGTGGTCCACTAACTCTCATTGCTAAAAATCTAGTTAACAGAGAATTCTTGGTACTCTTGGAATGCATGTGCTGAGAACTTTACATTTTAATGAATACACTTACTATACTCCTAATAAATTTCGTTTTCACAGATTGCACACCAATAATATAGATTTCCCACAGCTGCCAAAATGGAAACAGAGAGACTCTATGCTCATTTGAAAACTTCCTTATGTTGCTACTAAAATAAAAGGAAAAAAAAAATGTATATTTGAGAGACAGATGAGAAACTTTTTTTTATAATGTCTTTAAATTATGAAAAACTAGGTAAGATACAAGAATGTCTAATAGGAAGGAACATTTCTGTTTGAAAGGCATTTTAAATTAGAAAGAATACCCTTATGCATCTCTCTTTAACTCTGAAAATAAAACCTCACTTTATGACATTTTTTAATCCATCTTGAGATTCAAAAGTCACAAGAAAAGATATTACTGCTATTCAATCTTACGTGTGTTGCAAATTTTCTTAGAGGTCACTGCCTCAAAATGTCTCAAAATCCAGTTAAATTATTTATACAGTGATAAAACATGTGTCTTTGTGTACGTCCAGATCACTGATATTTATTCAGGTTAAATATTTATTGCTTTTGAACAAAACATTTAAAAAATTAAAACCACAGTTTAAGTCTAATGTCTTTCAGCTTCTTAAACAGCTTCCTTTGAGATTTTGTCACATCATGACAGCCTAAGTTGAACAGTACCTTCTGTGTTTTTTCTTTTTAAGGAGGAAACATGTTGACTGTAATGCTGCATGTTGAATAAAATATGTTCAATATGTTCAGCACCATAATTCCAAACTGTATAATCTGCACTGGGTGAACTTTATACTATTAGAACAAGGCTTGAGTATAATCCTGAGAAACAGGAGACCCACTCTGGCAATTTACCACAGAATGGGCCTCTGCCCTGTGGTCTATGTGTTTAACTCACTGCTATGAAATTTGAACTAGTCATATCTTATTAAAGTGAATGTAGCTTTATTTTATAAGTTTTAAAGTTATCTTTAGAGGCACTGTTCTGCACTCCATGAATTTCACACCCTTTTGGGGCTCACTCCTAGTCCTTGAGGAGTTCTTTTAGTGGGGCACATGAACCCAAGCCTACTAAAGCAGAAAACAGCACGGTCTGTGAGTGTTTCCAAGACTTGGTAGCCACTTGCGATTTTAAGATACAGTAAGGAAAACGATAGAGCTTGTCTCCATGATCCTGTTTATCGGTGACCTCTCAAAGATGCCAAATACACAGTATTAACACATACTATTCATAGTTCTGTCTCTACACTCATTTTTTAGGCAGCCCAGTCCTGGCACCTGGTAGATGTAAATAATCTCTTAACTCTAAATGCTACATTTAGGGGCAGGGAATGCAGAGATTACAAAGACTTCAGGCTTCCTGCAGCACCTGACCAAATTGCATCTAACAGTCTCCTTTAGGAGTCTCATTATGCCCTTGTTTTCCCTCTGGAGCAGAAGAACTGCTGCACTCACCTAGTATTTTGCTAATGTTGGAGTTATGCATGTCAGGGAAGGCCTGAAGGATTTTCCTCCTCTCATCCTTTGCCCAAACCATGAATGCATTCATTGGTCGCTTGATGTGTGGCTCACTGCTGGCCCGGCCGCGGGCATCCCTGTAGACTCGTGCTTCAGCCACAGTGGCGCCTCCTGTTGGCCAACAATAATACTGCTGTAGTTTAGCTGCAGAGCCATTCATTGCTTTACTTCCTGTAATGTCAGGGCAGGTAGAACAAGATGGGTGCAAAGCATTATTATCCGGACAATGCAACACAACTTGCTGCCTGGTTCAGCTGTTTGTCCTTGGTCTAATTTCTAAGTGACCTCTTGGAAACAGAACACAGTTTCACATGACAGATTTATAGGTCCTTATGATGTAGGTCTCAATGGCAGATTGAGCAGAATCAATTATGCATGTTTTGCATGTACATTTACGAAGGAGCTGGGTGGTCAGGAAAAAGATGGCGGCAGTTCTACGCTTCCCTGTATAGTCAGCTGGAATCAGCACAATGGCAACAGGTTTAGCACGTTGACAGTAATTAATTCCATTAGATGATAAAGCAATGACTAGGCATCATTTTATATTAAACTTGCCCACTGTAATTCCTTCCTTTGAAAGCTGACCTTTAACCTCTCTTTTTAGTCTCATTCACCGAAACTCCCAATCACTTCAAACTGTATCTTTTCCTCCTTGCCTTTTCACACCTTACCTTGACTCATGCTCTTCTCACTGTCTGGAAGGACCCTTCTCTTTCTTTACAACAGTAAATCCCACTCATCCTTCAAATCTTATCCAAATAACTGGTGGATTTCATTAATGAAGCCAATGGAAAAGGTTAATAGATCAATTATTGTGAGCTACGCTTTATGGTGGTTATTAGAGACACAGACACTAAGAAGCCAGCCACTGCTTTTAAGACGTAACTGAGGGCAACTTTGAAGTAAACTAAGTGCCAACAGAGCATCTGATAGGATGATCAGCAAATGCTTCCTAGGAGAGGTGACGTCTCTGCTGAGTCTTGATAAATGAGTAGGAATTAGTGGGTGACTGGGAGAGTACAATCAACAGATGGGAAGGGTAACTCAGGGAAAGAAATGATGCAATGATGTTTCCCAGGCTGCCTTCATTCCTCTTTCCTGTCTACATGTGGCATAGTAATTACTTGTTCATGGGATTATCACCCTCTAACCTTTCTACCCCATCCCCAGGAATATGAAACTCATAAAGTTAGTGATTATGTTGCACTTGTTCTTGTAGTCCATAGATTCCTAACATAATATTCAATATTTATTAAATAAAAATCTGATTTTCAACTTAACATGCAAGGAGTAGTAAACTAAGAGATACTCATTTCCAGAATCTGATCTATTTTGTACTGTTGTTTAAGGTTAGTTCTTCAACATCTTCCTATAAAACTCTGTCTAAATTCCTTCTATTGTCTATTTTCTAGAATGAACCTGTCTTGAGAGTAGGAAACTAACTCTTGTACAGGCTCTATACTTAGGATCCAGTAAAGTAGTTGGCTCATGGAGTTTCAATTAGTAAAATGTGTTACATAAATGAATGAATGATCCGATGAATTCATGGAACTCTTGCTATGTGTTCATGCCCCCCACCTTTATGACACATAGATGCATGCTTTACAATGTGGTAGCTGTTGACTGTCGGTCTTACTAAAACGTCTTTGTCTAAATGCAAAGTGGTTGGACTGATCATCTCAGCCAAGGTTTAACTGCATAAACAGGAAAACCCACCCTCAAAAGCTTAGGAGCAAAATGTACATTAAAACAAACATTTTTATTTTTCTGGGAAAAAAAGTAAATCCTTTAGCTCAGTAGAGTTATTATACAGGAACAACATGACCCAATCAATCTCTGCCCCTTCTTCTCTATTTCTAGATATCTTGATTGAGTAGAAATTTGTGTCAAGGCTAGTAATAAATTAGAACATTAACGTGCACTATTATTTGGCAAATATGACCATCATATATTGCAAACAAAAGACAGGATTAAAAGGGCCAAACTGGCTAATACTGTGAATTCTTTTCTGAAGATGAAAGGGGGGTGGGGGTGGGGGAACAACTCTCTGAAGAAGATCATGTAAAAATAAAGAACATATTTTATAAACAGCCCTGTTCTAGGTCTACTTGACAGAACGATCCCTTATATGAAAATCTCCGATTCCAAGATGCATAACTAATATGCTACCTTTTTGCCACCATACCCACAGTACATTAATTTCATTTCAAATGCACTGACCTACAGGATAAATTGATTTCACTTTATGTGGCTTTGACAGCCATGTTTATTGTGCAGTGAAATGTAGTGTAGCTTCCAGCTGACAGTATCCATCAACATAGGGCAATATGCTGACTGCTGGGCCAGATGAAGGCATACATTACTCTGGAAGTGGAACACTCATTCAGATACGACCATGTCTTTTCCTGAGGATCACCATGGTAATTGATGATGCCCTCAGTGCCATGACTTTACAACTGACATGGATTCAGCAATTTATATACTTGCCTGCACACACAGAAAAGCAGACAGGTTTGTAGAGAATGTCAGGTGCAAAGACATTTCAATATTATTCTAAGTTATCTCCGATGCCCCAGGTGATTAACATTTGAGATCTGGCTTTACTGTCATAACTTTCTCTCTACCTCCAGCAAAACCGAATAGTCAACTCCCATTTATTGATCCACTTCAAATACATTTCATTGTAAAGGTGGTTGTTGTTAAGTGCCATCAAGTTGGTTCAGACTCATAGCAACCCTGTTCTAATAGGGTTTCTGAGGAGTGGCTGGTGCTTGAACTGCAAGCCTTGCAGTTAGCAGTCCAGTGCGTATCCTACAGTCTCACAGCAGGACTACTTCACTGAGAATGGAAAGTCTGAATTTCCTACAGACTAATAGGGAGTCCTGGTGTGGCGCTGTGGGCTAATGTGCTGGACTGCAAAGTCAGTTTGAATCACAAGGTGGGTGGTTCAAGGTCACCAGTCGTTCCTTGGAAACCCTATACAGGGTCAGTAGGAGTCAGAACCGACTTGACGGCATTAAACAACAAAGAGAAGATATAACTTAAGTTTTTCCAGATGAGCTGGGAAGAAGACCAAATTCACCATGATAGCCCACTGCCATGGAAATGCACTCCTGCAATTTCCAAAGAGGCCCCGTTCTCCCTAAACTCTAAGGGCTATGTGAATAAGTAAAATGAGTGTGGGCTTGTGTGTTCCTCTCTAAGGAGGAACTCTGGCTAATTCTATAACATGCTTAAATTCAGCAAATATTTCAGACATATTTTAGATGCGTCCTATATGGTGCTGGGGTGTACAAAGATAAATAATGGCTGTGCCTTGGTTTTAAATAGTTTGGCCTAGCAACGAAAAGAGACCTATAAATACAGCGTAAGTCCTAATAAAGGTAATATAAAGATATTGTGAAAGCAAAGAAGAGAAGCTATTAACACTGTTGGGGCAGACACCAATGAATGTCAGGGAGGCGTCAGAGAGGAAGTGGGGTTCACACCACATCTTACGGGAAGAATACGAATTCACCAGCACTTAGGACTGTGAAGGAAGGCGGTCCAGGTGGGAATGAAGGCACAGAGCTGCTACAAAAAACACAGTAGCTCTTGAGGGAGTGTGAAGGTGGCTATGCTTGAGCTTATGGGGAAAATGAAGGGGAGCTAAGGCATGAAATCAGAAGATTAAGTAGAACCTGAATGGAGTCCTGGTGTGGTGCTATAGGTTAATGCACTGGACTGCAAAGTCAGTTTGATCTGCAAGAGCAGTGGTTCAAGCTCACCAGCCACTCCTTGGAACCCCTGTACAGGGATGCTATGGGTTGGAACCGACTCAACAGCACTTAACAACAACAGATTGATAAGTACCTTAGATGTCAATCCAGGAAACTTTTAAGGTTGTGAAGCAGGGGAGTAACATGAACAAGTATGTATTAGAAGAGATAAAAAGATGGAAACTGACAAATTATCACTGACAAAGTCCCATTGACTACTAGTGAATAAAGAATTGTTAAACAGAGTTAATAATACCATCTCACATGCCCACTAAAACCTATGATTTGTCAAACAGAATGAATATGATATATGCAAAATATTGGCACGGAAGATCAAAAAACATCAACAGAAGGATGACCCAGATGGTGCAATTAGTTGATAAACCTGACACCTTAGATGATATGAACAAATTCCTTGAAAGAAACAAACAGCAAGTCTTCACTCAAGAACAAATAGAAAGTCTGAACAATCTTCCCACAAAGACAACTGCACACACAAATGTTTTTCCTGGTAAAGTCTATCAAATATGGAAGGAAAAAAGATAATAATCTTACACATAATCTTTCAGAAAGTAGGGAAAGAAGGAATACTTCCCAGGGAATTTTAGGAAGCTAGCATACCCTGACACAAACTTGAAGTTAAATACAAAAATTCTTATAGCATACCGAATCCAGCAATATCATAATACATCATAATTAAGTAGGATTTATCCAAGGAATGCAAGATTATAAAAACTGAGGAAACTTGGACTAAAAAGGCAATATACCATGTTCATGGACTGAAAGGCTCAATGTTGTCAAGATGTCATTTCTCAGCTATTTACCTATAGACTCACTCAACACAATCCCAGTAAAATTCCAAAAAAGTAAAAGTCTTTTTTTTAAAAAATTGGCAAGTTTAAATATGAAAAAGTAAAGCCATAAGAGCAACAGAAATAAACTTGAAGAAAGTTGGAGGACTCAAACTCTGCTATCATCACCTTTTGAAGAAAAATATGTACAATACATATATCTAACAAGAACTTGTATCCAGAATATACAAAGAATGTCTCCAAAAACCAACAAAAATGTAAACAATCTTAATTTTAAAATTGGCCTAAGACTTGAACACATGACAAAAGAAAATATACTTATGACCAATAAGTATATAGTTATTCATATCATTAGTTAACCAGGACAATGTAAATTCAATCCCCACTGAGATATCATTTAACACCCATTAGAATGGCGTACAAAAGTAAATGTTGGCAAAGATCTGGTACAACTGGATGTGGCCTGTACTGATGTGACATTATTAAGTGGCAAAACCCATTTTAGAAACAGTTTGACAGTTTTTTATAAAGTTAAATATAC